ACTAATTGTCCTATTTTTAGCAACATTAACTTTGAGCTTCGATTATTGGTTTGTTAGATTTCTTACTAAGTAGTCGTTTTTCGTGCTTCCAGCTGTAAGATTTCTTACTAAGTAATCGGCTTGTGCTCCCAGCTGTAAGAAATCTTACTATTACTTCGTTACGCCAAGGATCTGCATTAAATTTAGCACAGCGTCGCACTTCGTACGAGGATCAAAGCTGATCGAAATCCTTGCGTTACCATCGGAGCTGCGCAGAAATCTAGGAGGAATATGTCACTAAATTTCGTCGTTATGACAATTACTATTACTATTAGTAATTGGGATAAATTTTCATGATTCTTTATTTACTACTCGAATAAGAATAAATACAATAATTTTGGTGGACCATTGACCTGTGGGATTTTCTTGCAGTAACTATTGATAGGGGTTCACTACTTGCTGTACATTGCAGGAGCACTCCTCTGAACAAGTTCCTGAGGAAGTTCTTTCAGCAGGGACGTGTTCTTTGGGGGCACACTTTGGATGATTTTCAGGACACTGAATTACCAACAGCAGCTGTGTTGAGAGCCATAACTAGTGCAAAATGTAAACTAATGGGTGGAATCAATTTTGAGGATGGCATCAAACAGGACCCAAGGAGGGTAATCATCGATCAAAATATGATTGCCTTGTGGTGTGTAAGAGCAAGTCTTCTTGTCAAGCCACAAGGAGAATTAGCAAGTGATTTGATTGCAAATCAGCTAGTATTGGGGCACAATGTGCAAATGCCCTGTTGTGGACTAAAGGTGTGTCCAGTATTTACTGAGGACAATGTACTCAGCCAACAATCAACAAGTGGTGTAACCTGTGCAAAATACATGTGCTTAACTTGTTTCACAAATGATGGCAGACATTATTACCAAAGACTAGGGAGGGGAATAACATACTACTAGGTGTCTGTCTCACTGTGTCTCAAAATCACAAGATTGTGTATGTTGGCTACATCTCAGAGCCTCTTGTTGCTGAGAATGCAGCATGAATCCTCAATCACTCCAAGATCAAATTCAGTGAAATCCTTGAACCACTTATCAGCTTCATTCAAGAAGGGTTGGTGGAACCTGGTCCAAAAGGGGAGCTGACTGTTCAGATCTTGCTTACATTGGCTATCCATCAAAAACAAGAAGGCTCTCCAGACTTTATGTACATGTTAATGTGTCCCTTGACTGTAAAGGAGTATCTGTCAGCACTGATGGTGGACCTCAGCAGTCTGGAAGGCCAGATCAGCTCTGAAAACTTCAATGGCCTTGTTGTTTTTCACACATTTCATTGCTATAGAGTGAGGGATAACAAAGGAAAGCCTACATTGCTTTTTCTGTTGTGGTGCAGCAATTCAATGCCAATGGGGACAGACTGCAATAGACCATGGGATTCCAGTTCTACTTGCCAATGGCAAGTTTACATACATTATTATACAAATCCACAACTACAATTTAAGTGATCCCAATATAATGTTCACAAGTACTGTAATTACCCTGCAGGCTGCTGGGTTGGATGATAACCCAAAGTTGTCATATCTTGTGCTATACTTCAGTCTCAGCTACAAAAGAGGTGAGATCAAAAACTAAGCAGAGAATTCAAGGTGACAAGCAAAAGAAATCCAAACATCAAGCTCAGTTAGAACAAGCTCTTGTAAATGAAGACATTGTAATTGCAAAGAGCTGGGCAGATCATCAGCTGATTGTGGGATTGTTTGGCATCTCCATGTTGACAGTAATAGCAAACATAAATTATTGAGATCTTCACTTTCAAAAAAAGAATGTGGACTGATCCAATGTCTTGTGCTGAAGGAGACAAAAAGGAGGTGATGAAACGGATGATGCCACTTGTATGGGAAGGTGGAGTCAGAAAAAAAAAAATGCTAGGGGAATGTAACATAGAAAGACAAAAGAAATAAAAGGTGTTACTATAGTGCACCACTTGTACGTCAGAATTTCTGAAAATAAGTTTATTGTAAAACAAAATGATAAAAATTATATATATATGAATACCTGTATATGAAAGTTTATAATTATAACGGTTCTACCGAATACGAAAAGCAATGCGTTTCTTTGAGATAGGTTGCAATTGTGGTTGCTCGAAATGATTCCGAGAGAAAGGTTTGCTGAATTACGTGAAGCGTTTCAAGCCCTTTCTAAATCAGAGCAAGATATATTTTTAATGGCTCAGCTGAAAGCAATGAATGCTGGAGAAATAACTGCCAGTCGACGTCTTAAAAGGAAAATGCGTCTAATAAAAGGACTTTTTACTATTGAAACCGCAATACGCCACTTTGTCAAAAAACGTATCTCAATATGTTAGGAATGTCAGAAGTCACCTAGCGACGAATGGTATAATACCGCGTGTTCATGGTAACATAAAACGAGTGCCGCGATGGAAAACCAAAATAAACATTGATATAACTGTTGCTACGTCTGTGAAGAATTTTCTTGGAAACTATGCCGAAATTCATGGATTACCAGGTCTTGGTAGAAATGTTAATCAAATTACTCAATCGCTTACACTTTTGCCAGCTGAAACGAGTTATGAATCGGTCTGTTGTGATTTTATTGCAGGTCTCGAAACAATCGCACGTTGAAACTATTAAAATATGATGCGTTCCGCAAGTTATGGCACCAATTAACGCCTTATATGCAAATTATGAGTCCGAGAACGGATTTATGCGATACTTGTCAACATTTTCGGAATGGCTTACAGTATAATGCTCGCAAGGAAGAAGAAGCAAGAGACTTACTAAAAAAATTCAGTTAAAGCTAAGTCAGAGAGAAACTATTACAACAAAAATATGAAATTAGCAGAACAACAGGGAAAATTGGTAGATAATAATTACGTTGTAACAGGAGATAAAGCTAATTATTGTAGCTTTGATGCTATTGCTCATTACAGTTATGATTGAGCACAAAATGTTCACGTTCCCCATTCTGATCAACAGGTGAGTAAGATTTATTATCGCAGTCCACGTAAAGTGCATTTATTTGGTATTCAAGATGAAGCAGTACGGGAACAAATTAATTACGTTCTCGATGAGAACGAAATGATAGGAAAGGTCCTAATGGTACACTGAGCATGGTATTCGATGGAATTAAGAGATTGAATAAAGGCGAAAAGCATTTGAAGATTACTTGCACGATAATGCGGGAGGACAGAATAAAAATAATGCCACCATATGATTTTATTTATATTTGGTAATTTGCAGTTATTGCGAAGGTGTTGAGCTTAATTTCATGGTACCTGGACATACTAAATTCAAGTGTGATGGCAGTTTCAGAAGCTCTATAGAAAAACGACCGTAGATTGTGTGAATCATATTGTTGAGGTTGTGAAAAATCAAGTACAGCAAGATTAAACAAGGCCCAGTGTTATGAAAATGGAAAAGGCTTTCAATACTTAGATATGAATTCTGTATTGGGGATTTGCTTTAAGAAATTGAATGGCTTGCAAAAATATCAGCATTTTGTATTTGAAGCAGCCAAAACTGGTGTTGTCAAAGCTCAGCTGGTTGCTAGTGGTACTTATACAGAATTTAATTTATTAAAAACTAAAAAAGTAAGTGTTTCTGAAATTATCAAAGAAATTAAATCCTTTTCCATCCTAGTCCTAATGCCTCCTCTTTTGGATTACAAAAGGTAAGAATATCTTTATCATAATATCGTTTCGTATTTGAATGGTTGTCTTTACAGTGGCAACAGCCCTCAACCAAGTTCGTAACGTTTGTCGAAGATTTTGAAGAGACATGGCATTTATATGCATTTATCTGTGGATAAAACATGGTAGGGGGTAATAAAGGTCATGTTACATAAATCAGACGACAAAGCCAAGATATATAATTTAGAAAGTTTAAACAATAGTAAAGAGATGTTGGTAAAAAGTACATACGGTAACGGTATTAGTATTATCAGTGATAGTTGTTGTGGCAAGCAGGTCGGATTTTCTTTTGGAATGCAAAATTAAGAAATACCGTATTCTTTGGAAAATAAGAAACACTTTTTTGTTATAGTGTTGCTTATTTTCGGGTAGTTTAATAAAACAAAAGAAATTACCACTGACTTCGTCATATCATGGACATCATTGATGAGACTCATATCACGGATTAATAATTTCCGACAATTTTCTTTATTGTAATAATAAAATAATCAATAATAAAATAATCAATTGAATACATTCATAAAGGTAAATTATTTATTCTGAAGTGTTGCTTATTTTCGGGTGTTGCTTATTTTCCAAAGAATACGGTACTCACTGGCTTTAAGTAATTTTACATCGGGTGAACACGTGAATTGCGGTGGAATCTACATGAACGAGCATTTTTTAGTTACGACATTGACACAACTGCGTATCACGCTCTGCCATACACGGAAATAACCGTGAAGCAGGATAATTTCGATATACGCATTATCAGTCCCGAGGTTGAATTATTATAGTCGTCGCCTGACGTGATGTATACGCCTCAGAAACGTATATGAAAAGGAGACTGAACCAGAAAACAGGTCTGGAAATTGGCTTCAAACTACTCAGAGACCAAAGATTAAATTTTGTTATTGTTAAGCCTGACGAGAGGCTTCAGAAGAAACTGGCATAATTCGTTTTTCAACATCGAAGACATAACAACGAAACAAAGAGGCAAAAATGTAAAGCAATAATTAAGAAGCTTCCTGTATTACAGCTTGTTTTCCTTTACGCAGAAACGTGCGAATGAAATAAAAAGTACTGACATTGGAAAAAAAGATATGGTGACTGTTACGGCTGTCAGTTGGAGAGGAAAAAAGCAAATGGTATAAAGCACCATTAGTATTATTAACTTGAGACAAATGACGCCTCTAAGCGAAATGAGAAAACTTTCTAGCATAATCGATTATTATACTTAACGATTGTTTTAAATTCCAAGTTATGACGCATAAAAGATGAATTGATATCCGATGAATATCCCACACATGTTTGCGTTAGCATGACCAAGCGCCGGTGACGTTAGTGTGAGTAAAAGAGAGTAAGCGTTCGAAAGGGGCTAGGGACATCTAATAAAATCTCAAACCAACGTTGCCTTCGTGTCATTGACTAATAGATGGCTTCTCCTTCAAACTTATGAGCTTTTTATACTGGTAAAGAATGGCTCTTTACACAGTGTCCTAACAACGTGAGAAAATATTTGGCCTCTTCACGTGTAAAAGAGACATTATTTCCATGTTTAACTACTTGATGAATAATAATAATAATAACAAAACGCTGGGAACCTAAATCTTATTTTAGCTGGTTTTGGCAAACAAGCTTAATTCCCATGCAGATTTTGGAATCGAGTCCAATAACCAAATCACTGGTAATAAACAATGGACGTTAGATGAAAGTAAACGTGACCGCCCATACTAATACGATGAAACGGCATTAGTATTGTTTATTAATATGCGAATAGAGCCTTAAAAGTAGCAGAATAAAATTGTTGTAATTCTTGTTTAATTGTTATATATTTATATTTATTATTATGTGAATGGTGTCTTGTTAAGCCAAGAACTTTTGTGAAAAAACTTTAATTTTCCCAGCTAAGAAATTTAGTACAGGCTCTAAAAGAGATTAAATCGAATTGTTCGTTTGTTTGTTTTGTCACCATTCTATCCCCAAGACAGAACGTTCTCAAACTAAATTCGGCCACTATTGATATAATGACTTAATTAAAGATAATATTGTTGTTATTAAATTGCAAGAATCAATAATAACGGTTTCCAGAATTTGACATGTTCCGACCATTATGAAAGTCTCCTAAATGAAAGCTTTTTCTAATCACTTGAGTAGATTTATAACTGATTACAAAATTTAGCAAAAATCGTTGCTTTATCGTAAAAGACTGCCGCAGAATAATATACAGAATACATTGCATGCAAAGGTGATTGATATTATTTCCGGTGCAATCTCGTCGCATGGTGTCCATTTAGGGCCACAGACTAAATATGGACTGTATGACTAAACTTACGCTATAGTATCAAATTAAGACCGAGAACTAGGCAAGATAATCGATTGTTCTGTATTTTGCATTATTGCAGTATTGTACAGTCCGAGAATTTTATTGTAGTACAGGAATCACATTACATCCAGTAAGACATAGAAATAGTTACTATTATATCTGGTCTCGCGATAATGTCTCATTAATTGCAATCTTGAGAGCGAGATAAATGATCCAGAACAACCACAATTCCTCCACAAAGATAAAATTTCATAGTGGATATTCCGGCCAAGATTACAAATATCTTTGCTAAACAGTCACCCCCACTTTGTCCTATGAACTACAATGTTTTATACATAACTTTGTTATTGCTTAATCTTCCGAGCACGGTTTCATCACAACTCATCCCGCGAATTGAAGCGTCTCATTTTATACTGCCGGATCCTTATAGGGAGAGATTGTGATATGTTCGGTGTTTGTATATGTGGCTGGCTGGATGCGACGTAGCCCATTCAAGTACAACAAACCCCGCCCAAAGCACGAGAGTTTGGCTGGATGGTTGACTGTGAGGTAGCACTTCTAGATCATTTAGAGAAATTGTAAATACGTAGGGCGTTCAAAAAGTTTTTTGCAAAATGATATCCCGACATCATTTTTAATCCTTCGTCTCTCACTTTCTCATATGTTACATTCAAGAGAAAGTTCATCCTCCCCAATATTAATCAACAACAATAGACAAATAGAAACTAATAAGAATAGAAATACCATAGAAAAAGTAAAAAGATAATATGTATTGATGGACATAGTT